GTTGAACCGTCTTTGAGATCTAAAAATCATGAAAAAGAGGGGGGGGGGGGTACCCTTAATGCACGCTTTTATCAGATTTTAATGAAATCTTTTCATTAGATAAAAAACAAGTAGAGATATGTTTCATAGATAAACTTTTTATTTTTCTTGATTATAAACTTGAAAAATACGATCATTTTTAGAAACCAACTAAAAGATTATATACACAGTGTCCTAAAAGTCCCCCAAAAAAGTTAATTCAAATATTTCTTATACAGCACAAACGATTTAATTGATTTTTTTTACACTATGTTAGTATGTTCTTTAAATTTTTGCATATTTTTAGGTTAATGTCTGTACCTATAAATATCAGAATTAAAACAGTTTTATTAATGACATAGACAACAAACTGCTTGACCTTCAGAACTTATTCAAAAAAGAATCAGTAGTCTGATAATTGTGAAAATGGATCACTATCAAGTGTTCGAGTCTGCTTCATTCCATGAACAATAGCAGACCTAATTGGAACTATTAAAGAAAGAAAAACAATGTTTTTTATTTTAGAATTAGTAGCGTAATAAAGATTTTTATACATGCAAACGCTGGATCTTAGCGATCAGGCATGGGATTCAGATAAAGCCTTTGGAGAATGGCATTTTTATCCAAAACTTTTCCTCTATTTTTTCCTTTCAAAACAAGATACTGGGATTTATTCTCTCTATGGATTTTATTAATTATGATAATATGTCAACACACCGACACTCAAACTTTTTCCTGCATCTCACTCTCATCTTTAGCGTAGAATTTATCTCAAAATGCTTCAGAATTTATTGAAAAGTCTACCTTGTAAATTTGGTCTAAAAATACAGAGGTTATAACATTTTGAATTTTTGCTACATGTTGCAATTGATATCCTGATTAGATCACCATTTTTCCACTATAAAATTTTGAAAATCTGCTTCGTAAAGTCGACCAAGAATTGATCGAAAATTCAGTCATTTTTTAGTGGAATGCACATAGAAAAACAAAGTTAATCGATAAGTCTCTTTGAAAAACTATCATTCATAAAATCGCAACTCTCTTGCTTGTTTTTCACAATTTAAAACTATTGTCCATTTCAAAATAAAAGAAGGATGGGTATTTTTGAAATAATCTTTCATGAGAACCAGATAGAGATATGCAGTTTTTACCATTTAAAAAAGGCGATAAAATTACATCGAATTTTTCTGGTGCAGTTTTTTTGGAATCTACTGCCAAGGGTTTTAGAAAATGGAGACTTTTTGACTGGGTTAGAAGATGGATTTTTTCTTTGAAAATACGAAGTTAAGTGTTCGTAACACGTGATCAGGTAAATCTTTAAGCATCATGCTTACAGAGATTATTGAGCTTTAGGTGATGATTCTGATGCGCTACTAAAAAATAAAATTTCAAAATTTTTACAATACATAATGTTGTTTTATTGGAAAACTTCTTAGAAGACCATGAAAAAAAAGCGTGCCAGAAAAATCTGGTATTGGTAATTCAATGCAGTTTCATCGTGTCTTTTAAATGATGAAAATCGCAGATCTCTATCTAGTTTCCATCAAGAATTGTTCTGAAAATACTCGCCCTTCTTTTATTTTGAAATGGATAATAGTAGGTAACTTTTAGAACACTCTATTCATTGATTTATAAATATTCATTTAAATTATCAACAAGGATGAAACAAGAAAACTTGATCTCTCGATAGTGGACACTTGAAAATAATATTTATACCACTCCAGCCACCAAAGGGTTAATAGCAAACAAAACAGTAATTTAATATTAATATATGAAAAATAATAATGGTTAAAAATTCGACGTTTCGGTCACCTAAGTAATCAATTGCAAGAAATGATAAACTTGTTTATGTCTGTACACATAACCGAATAATAATTTTATATATTCTATGATTTATTCATATACACAAGTTTATGCTTTCTTTATTATAAATAAGAATTCTATCAACCCTTGACTAAATTCACTATGATCTCGTTAGCTGTATTTACATTTCGTAAATCTAATAACAATCGTGCTTGGCTACATTTTCAATGTCATACTGGTTCGGCTCAGCAGGGATTTAAAATTTTTCTAACTGTCCCTGGAGAGTTCGAACGATTATTAATCGTTGTCGATAAATATAAATTAAATCTCATATTGCACTTTGTAGCAAGACACTAGATTACATATCGATCTGAGACATTATTTTAATTTCAAGAAATTTTTCTTTATTTTCTAAAAAGAAGAAAAAAATAAACACCGAGACTCACTAGGGAACCTTCCAAGGTGCGGGAGCGCTTTTCAATCAGGGTTTCGTGCATCTTGTAGCCCGTAGTGAGCTATGCTTACGGTAAAAAAAGTTCGGGTTTCTGGCTTGTTTCTGAGGCGCTAGAGCATTTTTATTATCATAATTATAAGGGTTATTTTATCAGCAAAAAATAATATGCCAAACAATACATACGGAAATGAACCAAGATTTTTGTCACAAATAGTATCAGTCATGTAGGACACAATGTGAGAATTTGAGCTCAGACAACCTTGAGAAGATGTAATTATTAACTTTAGACAGTAATAATGTCGTTCTATATGTCATTACATCTAGTATTTCCTAGAATTGTAAGATAATCGTAGTCTTTCACAATAGTATATTCATTTTCATTCCTATCTTATTGGCTCCAACGGCACCTATATGATAAATTACATATATAGTTTTAGCGAATATTTTTGATGTATGAATTATATATATCATTGAATGGGAAGAAATAAACCAAAGTAATTTACTTGGACGAACTGAACTATAACCACGTGTATAGGAAAGGGGAAAGCGAAAAATGGTCGAACGAAAATTGGTCGCCGAAAATTGGTCGCTACGAAATATGGTCGCCACGAAAAGTGGCCGCTACGAAATATAGTCGCCACGAAAAATAGTCGAGAAATTTGTAATAAGAGAAAAAAATTTTTATTAAACAAAAGACACTCATTGAGACAAATAAGTAGGCAGAAGATTGTGATTATCAGTTTTGTATGATATTGTTGTATTAATACAATTAAACCCCCTCCCAGAATAAAAGGGCATGCCCTTATACAGTGTCTTGGCACATCGCTACTTTTTGGATGGCCTTCTATTGGGAGTCAATTTTTGGCCAGTTTTTAATTAAAATCATTTAAAAAATTAGTAATTAATTAATAACTTTAATTATTGCTTTTTAGGTGTTTTTTGCTGAAAAAACTACCATTTTTTGTAAAAACTGTACTATTTATGATAGGAAAGGAAGGATTTCGCAAAAAAACATTAGAAAATCGGTTATATTTCCTTAATTATTAATTAATATTTATGAAAATTTCGATAATTTTGGAATATATTAATTAATTAGTACATGGCCTTCTAATAGAGCGTTTGAACTTTTGCTCGGACATGGCCTTATACAGGGGGTGGCCTTCTAATATAGGGTGGCCGTCTATTTTGGGGGGGGGGGGGCTTTAGTATGAACTCGATCTTTACACTTGCCAGTTCGAGCATACTCACGTTTTCAATAAGTTTTATCATTATTTTTTGTATCGACTGTGTAACCAAAGCCTTCACATAGTAGTAAAGGTTTATTCTTTTGCGTTGTGCTTAGTGTAAATGTAGACATTTTGGCAGAAAAGTACAACCAACTCTGTTGCGAGAGCTCTATATATATATACCCGAAACAGCCTGTTCATCTCATCATTTTCACATTAACGAGAAATTATAGCGTCTAATAATTCTTCTTTGAAGAAATCTACAGATCATTTCAAAGTAACTTCTGTCTGCTTATGAGTCTCAACGAATCTTATGATTAAAAAGAATTGTTCTTTTCTCGACTATTTTTCGTAGCGCCTATTTTTCGTGGCGACTATATTTCGTAGCGGCCATTTTTCGTGGCGACCATATTTCGTAGCGACCAATTTTCGGTGACCAATTTTCGTTCGACCATTTTTCGTGGACCCGAGGTTACCAATCATTTAGCTGAATTATTAAATACAATTATCAACTGTCATGAGTTTACTGTAGAAAGTGAAATTTCTCTTGATTACATTTCCGATGATTTAACCGAAGATGAAATTGATCAATATGCTGTATCAGAAGACTCTGAATTAGATCCTGATTTCAACGACACGGACAACGACGACAGTGATGGTCTTCTTCAAAAATTTTCTTTAGATTATATGAAAAAGGTTATTGAATATTATGAAGAAAGAAATTCGTTGACAGGAAAACGCCGTCGGTCTTGGAAGGGTGTGAAGCGTCGATTTAAACGTGTTACACATCCATCATATATATCTCGTTTTCGTGCTTTTATTGAAAAGGGAGGAACGAGAACGCAAAAATGGGAAAATATTAATGATTATGTTTATCATAAATTTGAACAAACTAGAGAATCTAATCTTCCTGTACATGATCTCGACTTACGTCGCTGGGGCTTAGAAAAAGCTAAACAAGAATTATTCCATGAGTTTACTGCTTCCGAAAAATGGTTGTTTAATTTTAAAATAGAGCACAACATATGCTCGAGAAAAGTAACTAAAGTGAGTAACTTGTCTCTACTATTTTTAATAGAGTAATCACTTTTTTGAAAACCACATATTATCTATATCTACTAAAAAATTTATCTTTTTTGCTTTTTAAAAATTTGTTTCCGTACTTGTATAAAAATAGATTTCTTTTTATATCATTTCACATACCTTCAAATTTCATTCTACTAGATAGATGCTTCTTTATTTTCAATTTCTTATAATATTAATCGCATAGAGAGTATTTTTATCACTCAACTATAAATACAAAACCGTTGAGAAAATATGCAAGAAGAAAGCTTAAAATTCCTGTTTTATTGGACATAAAGATAAAAAATATTCTGCTTTAGGTAATAACAACTAAACAAGTAACAAGTAAAGAAGAAGTTCAACATTCTGCTGATGAATTTGTATCAACTGTACGAAATCTTTTACCAAAATATAATCCTGATTATGTGATAAACACAGATCAATCTGGTATTCAACTTGAGTTTTATTCAACTCGAACCCTTTCTTTTAAAGGGGAAAGAAGTACTGCCATAAATGTTCGTTCGAAGAATGCGACCACACATTCATTTACCGTGCAACCATGTGTCAGCCTCAGTGGCAAACTTGTCGGACCACTTTTCCTTTGTTTAAAAGAACCCGCTGGTTATTTAAGTGAAAATGTTCGAGTAGGATTCTCACATATAATGATCTCTTTTTTTTCGTATTAGTGTAGTTCGAAAAATACATCTTGATTTTTATTGAATATTTCAGGGTCGTCTATTCAAAGCTCCTAATATAGTAGTATCGTGTAGTAAATCCGACAAACTCACGACTGATCTTGTGAAATTTTGGCGAGATAATGTCTTACTTCCTTCCATTGCTTCTCATCATACTCTTCTTATCTCTGACTGCTGGCCTGGTCAAAGTAATATTACAGGTATTTACGACAATATTAACAAACTTTATCGGCTTGAATTACCTAAACATACCGCCACACAAATTCAGCCGTTGGATTTATTTTACAATAATCAGCACAAATATATAGCTCGTCGTATGTTCGATCGAGTACTACTTGATGGTCTTGATATTAATTTAAGTGAACGTAATTCTATCATTCGTAGCCAATCTCTCATTTATAATCAGCTATGTGCTCCTGTTTTTCAAAAAATGCTACAGTATGCATGGCACGCAAGTGGATATATAGACGATCATCCCGGTTCTTTTCTAACTGTTAAACAAGTGTGCTTTACATTTCATAACATTTCAGGCAATGGTAGCTGTTGTGAATCGTCTCCCTTTATTTGTTGCAGTTGGTGTAGAAATAACTTTTGCTTCCAACATTTCTTTTCTGATTATCATTTTCATCATAATTTATATGATTTATCTTAAAGTAGTTGTTATGCGGCACACACATTAGCTATTTTTTCGTTTTTCTTCTTTCGGTACGCAATGCTACCGATACACATTGTTAAAATTAGGTCAGATATGAGAATGAATATACTATTGTGAAAGACTACGATTATCTTACAATTCTAGGAAATACTAGATGTAATGACATATAGAACGACATTATTACTGTCTAAAGTTAATAATTACATCTTCTCAAGGTTGTCTGAGCTCAAATTCTCACATTGTGTCCTACATGACTAATACTATTTGTGACAAAAATCTTGGTTCATTTCCGTATGTATTGTTTGGCATATTATTTTTTGCTAATAAAATAACCCTTATAATTATGATAATAAAAATGTTCTAGCGCCTCAGAAACAAGCCAGAAACCCGAACTTTTTTTACCGTAAGCATAGCTCACTAAGGGCTACAAGATGCACGAAACCCCGATTGAAAAGCGCTCCCGCACCTTGGAAGGTTCCCTAGTCAGACTCAATTTTTTTCATTATTTTCAAACACAAAGAAAAAGAAGAACACAATTTGTAAATAATAACAAATAAATAGAAATCTTAACTAGATACATAAAGAGAAGATGCTGATGATTAACCAACACGTGATGTTCTATCTTCATTATACATTAAACATAAATACCCTTTTAAAACAAAATTAAATTAATTCAATTATAAAAGAATAATAATAATAATAATTAAACAAACCATTTGGATTTTCTACTGTTTTAGCAGTATTATTAATAACACTATTGACAACTTCACTCGCATCAACACGAGTTGAATGTAATCGTCGTTGAATATCTCCAAATTGATCAATACATGGAACCTAAACAAAATCATATTTAAAAATGTTTTTCGAAAATTTTCCTCAACAAACTCTTCGTTTAGTAATTAAACGTCGTTGGGATTGGTTATGACTTTCTTCATCACTACCTTGTTTATATACATATAATTATAGTAAACATTTTTCATAATAAATATCGACTAACTTTATATTAGTTTTATTCATAGTATTTGAGTTATTTGTACTGTTGATACTAGTTGTTGAAAAATTGGAACACATACTACTTTTACTTACTTGACGAGAATGACCTCGAGTTAGATTTGTGGTTAAAGGAGGATAAAGTTCACTAGCAGATCCACTTATTGTCGATGAACATTCATCTTTAATCGAGTTTTATATTTTACGAATTTTCAAATAAACTGAACAAACCTGGAAATGGTTCATGAAGTTTTTGTGTACTCAAAAAGTGAGTACACCCTAGAATCGGTCAGTGTGTCCGGCCGACCGTTTACACGATAACTTTTGAAAAGAGAGTCCGATCGCGATGGAATTTACTACACAGTTTAGTCTCAACAGTATCTTGGTCAAGTTCGAAGATGAGAATAATTGGCTGAGCCATTGCTGAGTTATTGCAAAAATAGTCATTTTTCTCCATGCTTCGCTATGCGAAGATCGACCTATCTCCGCTTTCGTAAGAAACTTTTCCCATTGTAGTCAAATAAAACCCCAACTATTATATACCATTCGATATAGAATTTAACGAGCTACAAAATGGTATATAAAACATAAGGAAACAAAAAAGCTAACTCACCTATTGCAAAGATAATTAAATGGAATTCGGTTCTGTGTTTATCCACGCTCTAATTGATCCATAAATAGAGCTCTATCTTCCGATCACAGTGATGATAGTTCGAGGTTTTCTGGCGTGGAGAACTCGAATCTGTATTCCATTCGCCTCGAAATTTCATTGGTTGAGCAGTAACCAATAGAAATGAAGTTATAGGAAAAATGACTTTCTTAGGGTAAATCAAGGCAAAGAGTTCAAATCTTCTCTGTATTCGCCCCCAAATCCTATTGGTTGAGCAGTAGTCAATAGAAATCAAGTGTTTATAGACAAGATTTGCCAGAATAATTTTTATGTCCACACATTCTAGGATGACTCATCTGCCTCATTCACTTTTTGAAGTACACATAACTCTCGGATTTAAATCCGAAGTTTTCACATTTATTTTTTCAAAATTTTTACGGCCAATCGTATAGAGGTTGACGATCTGGTTACGAATATATAGTGTTTTATTTCTATTCGATCACCGTTTGGCTGAAAATAATCATAAAAAACTCTAATGATTGAAAATGTAGAAGTGATAACTATGAACTCGCGCGTTTTTTTACAGACATTGGCAAATTTCTATTGTGTCTTTTTTCAAAATTTATCAAAACATTTTATTCTGATTGAGCATCAAAAACTGAATAGAAAAACGTTATTTGATTAGTTTTAGAGTTAATCATCTAGTTTGTCGTAATAAGAGATAGAAGGAAGTGTCTTATCCTGATTAAAATCATCAGCTCGTAATCTGCAAAAGTACCTATTTAGTTTTTCAGTTTCTGTTTTTTTGAATTTATTTCTCATTCGATGGTAACATTGGCCAAATGAATATTTCTATTTAGCGAGTTTTATTACGATGGTCTAATTAAAAATCCAAATAGATAAGATATGAAGAATAACCGTCAAAAAGTCTATAGAATCATATATGTTTTAGTAAAAACTGTGTCCAATGAGAAAAAAACCAGCTGCGATTCCCTTGAGATCTATGTTTATGAAATATTGTCCCTACTCTTCCAAAGTTCGGTTTTTTCACAGGAAAAAAAGAAAAATTTCTAAAATCTAGATATGGTGCGATGCAGTTTTTTCATGGTTATTCTTCATATGGTATCTATTTCGATTTTCAACTGAACGATGATAATAACAACTGCTAAATAGGAGTAGATTTTCTATTCTATTGTCTAATATTATAACCAAACGAGAATAAATCCGATCATATTAGAAAAAAGCAGATAGGTTTACTAGAAGACTTAGATGTAGATTTTATGATGTATATTTTCAGGTATCTATATTCGAGAAGATTTTTAAACTTTATTAATAATTGAGCTAATCAATATTTGACAATTTCTCTAGAAAAAAAAAAGGTTAAGTTAATTGTTCTCACTCCAACATTTTCAATCATTCAAATTTTCTACGGTTATTTTCCAGCAAACGCTAGTCGAATAAGAGAATATAGGAGTTAAAGAAAAAGGAAATAAAGATATTTACTCAATTATTTTAGTTTTTTTCGATTTAGCTTCAAGGATATCGGAACGTATTAGGAGATTCATAAAGTAGTTTTAATAGAAATTGAAAGTACAATTGCCTTTAATAAAAATAAATAAAAATTTTAAAGTTTTTCTTTTCGATAAAAAGGTTCTACAAATTGTTGTTGTTGAGTATTTACATTGTTAATAATTCACTTGTTTAAAATTGGTTCCTATTTATTTCTTTATTCTAGTTATTCATTTTTATTCATTGAGATTTTTTACTAGTTTTACCAGCAAAATAAACAACATCCTTTAGTTGAACACTATTTTTTTAAGATCTAATAAATAACTATGTTTGACATTAAATGACATTCCACAACATTTGACATTTCAAATTTGATAATATCGTTATTCTTGCTGCTGTTCGAATAGTAGTAGATCAAGTTTTTATATAATATAATAAGTTCTTTTTTTATGCTTTGCTTCATTCTTAATGATAATAGGTAAATAAATATTCAAATTTACAGTAAATCATTAGGATCTAACAGGAGTTAATAGATTTGACGAAAGCTCGCTAGAATATCAGACTCAACAATCTGATTTTTTCGCCGTTCGAGATAGATGTCTAACTGAAATTGAAATAAAACAGATAGGAAATATGAGAGAGTAGAACCATTTCATGTATTACTTACGAGAAAAACTTGACAAATATTATTTTGACGATCGAGTCAAGACTATATGCATAATCTAAGTCCTAATCAGCTTTCACTGCCCTAAAAAGAGTTCGTGCATTTAGCGTATTTCTATTTAGATATCTCATGTCTAGGATCTTTCTCAGTATCACTTCGCACAACTTTAATTCCTCGTGAGATTAGTCTATTCTGAAGGTGTTTAATTTTTTGGTTGTTCCCATACAAAAATATGAAAATAAAACAATTATTATGTAATGATTGTCGTAAAAAGTAAGATTTCTTCTCAAACTAGTATCTACGAATGGACGGAACTTGGAAATAGAAAATTTTCATAATAGACTAGTCTCATTGAGGATTATTTCTCTGCAAATATTCAAGGCGAGAATTTGAAAGTCAATTGTTCCAATTAATCCAAAGGAATATGACACTATTGTGATGAGTAAATGCCATAAAAATGGAATAGTTCATCAAAATTAAGCTAAGAGCACGCAACTTTTCTTGGATATTGAGAGTTCATTAGGGTCTACATGATAGACATTGTCTCAAATCGAAAATATTCTCTCCTTCATCTTCGAACAATGGAGCTGCTCGAAGTTATTCATGAATTTTGAGCTCCTATTTTTACCAAAGAATCTGGAAGTTCAATACATAAAATACCTATATATAAGAATTTATCGATAATAGAACTAGATTATGTTAGAATACTCTTAAAGTTTTAGTAAAAACAAATCTATCTTTATCGAGATAATATATTTAGGAAAAATTTTCTTATTGTGTCTTTACTATGAAACGTAGCTACTTTTTGAAAATCCAATATATGGACAAAGACATATTCCCTTATATTTTAAATTGTTTGAACTAGAATCGATCATTTATTTAAATTGTTCAACGATATTCATCATTTTTATTACTTAACAAAAACAAAAAAAAAATTAACTTAAATCATAGGACATATCTTTATTGATGTGATTTATCTCGTATAGTTCTATTGTTATATCGTTGACAAGTTTTCTAATTGATTTATACGGATACATTTTTTCATTCGGTTATCAGAATCAAGATTTGTAGTTGTATAATATAATAAAGAAAATAAATGATTCGATAAAGGTATTATAACCAATGATGATTCTAATAAAGATAAAAATAATTTATCTAATCTATCAATTGAGATGATAAATAATCGTTTTAAATCGATATTCATTGGTGATTTATTATTATTGAATAATTAGATAATCATATAATTAAATATAATAATAATAAATGTTCGATTTTATAAAAAAAAATAATATGTTATTAAATGATTCTCTTCAATAAAATAAAATATCATTTTTTTATAAATATCATTTTATAAATCAATTGTTATTGTATTTCAAAAAATATGTTTTTATTTCATATTGATTCATTTTAAAATGTTAATAAATTCTATATTGGTTTAATTGAACTAAATATTTATTTAATAATATTTGTATTGTTAAATGATTGATTTATTAAAAATAAATAAAATATAAATTTTATATTTCCATAAAGACGATTATCAGTTGAAAATGATATAATATCATTATTTAAATTATTTATAATTGATCTTTGTTGTTGTTGTTGATATGATGATGATTGAGTTAAAACTATAAGAAAATCTTCTACTCTTGGATATAATATATCTTATTCAGATCTTTTTTATTTTCAAATTATACAAAACATTTTTTTCTATATTATTATTAATAGATTCTTTTTTTGATTTTTTAAATGGTGGAAAATGTTTTTTATTTATGTTGATCATTATTTATATTGATTCGATTTGATAAATAAATATGATTATAAATAAAATCAATTAAAAAATAATAAAATTGATATTTAAACCATATTTGTTGAGTATTTAAAATAAATAAAATAAAATAATCTTTATTTATGTATTTATTTAATAATAAAAATGGTTTAGATGAACAAATTATATATGTTAAATATTTATATATTAATATAAATAATTCATTTGATAAAATTGAATTTGTTATTGATGATAGAATTATTATTGATGTCTTGTGTTTGTCTTAACGGATATGTTGATAATGATTTTATTGTTTTTTTTTTTAAATAGACATTTGTTTAAGTAATTTTCTGGGATAATTATTTGTTGAATTTGTTAGAGGTGGATTTTTATAATTGATGATCTATGTCAATATTTCCAATGTTTATTAATTAATTGTGAAAAATTTCTTTTTTCATATGAATAAGAAAATAAATTTTATTCTGACAAACGATATATAAGTAATAATAAACATTCAATTTATTGAGAATTTTTATTTAATAATAAATTATATATTGAATAGCTAATAATCGATTATAAAATATAGTTTTTTAATTCAATGAATTTATTGTTAATTATGTTTGTTCACATAAATCAATAATATTTATGAATAATGATTGTTGTTGATCACTCGTTAAAATATAATTTGTTAGAAAATAATGTTGAAAAGATTCGTTTTACAAATTGTGTCCACCATCAATCATATGAAGATAATTCTAATAGACGTGTTAGCCATAGAAATTATTTCTATATGACGAATAGGAAGTCTATAAAATATTTGTAGAGGAATATTTAAATAAATAAATGATAAAGATGACAATGAACTAAACAATAAAAACGAATTAAGTATAAGCACTAGTCGACGATCTTGCCATCGTTCTTTCCAGATTCTTGTTTTTCTTGGTTATCAGCCAAGATTCTTTTGCCATTCCTTCTACACAAGATTCTTGCCTGAGAAAACAGATCTTGAACTTCTGACAAGATTCTTGTGTTCTTGTATTCTTGACTGATTCTTTTTTTTCTTGACTTCTTGACTGAGTCTTTTTTCTTGAAATTCTTATGTGACTCTTCTTTTCTTGAGTTCTTACTTGAATCTTCTTCTTCTTGAGCCTCCTGATAGATTCGTGTGATACAAATAAGGCGTTTTTATATCAACATGCTTCTTTTCTTTCGTTACGATTATATTTTATTATCAGGTTCAAATAAATATACAAAAATGTGAGCAGCAAGTAATAAAAAATATACATCAATTTCACATGACGAGCAAAAGTTAAACAAAAATTAAAAAAAACGAGCACCAAAATACTATATGTTAATTTTCGTCGCCGTCATCGTCATCTTCGTCGTTATTCAATGATGATAATGGTTGAGCTGTTGTAGAAGTCCCTTGTTGTGAAAAAGTAATAGATGATCTGGTCGAGGATTTTCTCTTCTTTGCGTCATGCTTTATTTGTTGTAATGAATTCTTGATTGATTGACTGTCCGCAATGACAGATGCAACATTCAATTGATGAATTCGAGTAAGAAAACTTAAAAATATAGATTTGAAATAGTAAAATGATCACTAAATTTTTCATTCATCTTACCTAAAAGACGATCAAATTCTCCTGGAGCAAAATCGTTGAATGATGCTTTTTCACCGTATGCAGCACGAACTAAAGATCTAGCTGTTACATTCAATGAAGGACCACGTGCAATATGACTCAAATCAGTTCCATTTAATTTCTAAAAACAAAAAACGAGATTATAAAAATACAAAAAATTTATTTCATAGTAAAAGATATTGCAATGCCTGAGACTTATATGCAACATCTACTTTGCAGAACATAAAAAAGGGTAATTAAGCATAGTCTTTTGCCTAATATTTTTACTCACAAATATTAAATCCTCTTCATCATTTTGTTGTGATGTTTGTAATACTTTAGCTTGCTGAAACGATAGAAAGAAGAAAGAGATATAGCAACTTATAATCTGTACTTACCATATGAACAATGTAAGATAATTGTTCAGTTGTTTTTTGTAATTCACGTGGAGCATTAGGCAATTCTTTGATTAAATGTGCTTGTTCTGTCATTTGTTTCAACATATCTTTTACTAATTGATTTGTTTCTTCACATAACTTTATTAATGGTTTCAACATCTGATTAAATCCTAAAACTTAAATGAGATTAATTATAGAACAGAGAACATATCTATCATATAAATAACTATTTTGTGTTGCTTCAGAAATGGATCTTGTAGCTGCATTCACTGCTCTTGAACTAAGTATATTTTCACCTCCACTAGTATTATCTAAGGTTTAATAAATAACAATAACCTTTTCATAAATTTTTTAATAGAAATGTACTCATCATTGTAGCTGCTGTACTTTGAGCAGCTGGATTAAATCGTTTACGAGGAAGTGGTGCAGTTGATGGAGCAACTAATGTACAAGCAGCATCTCGACGTTTTTTGACTGGTAACTCTGCGAATAAATTTACATTATTTCAAATATAAGATGTCCTTATACTCACCTGTTGAAGTAACATGTACTACATAATCATTATTATTGCTTGTGATTGAATTGTGTATCGATGACAATGGTCGATTAGTAGTTTGATGAATATCAAACCTTGGATCACGTACATGAGACAATGATGGATCTGCTGGAAATATAAAAATGTTCCAGTTACTGATTTTAAAAGACATAAATTATTAAGTTTATATTTTATGAATAGTAAAAGTGCAAAAAAAATTGACTTACGATGATTAATATCAATTGTTGATTGTGAATTACATATGAAAGACACCGGTTGCATATGATGATATGATTTATCTGAATATTCCTGAGATAATTGTTGTTCAACATTTTCATCATTAATGTTGGGTGATGAAGAATTGTACATGATGATGAAGATCGAAAATAGAATAATCAAACAGGAATTATAAAAAATAATATTATGATAATATATTTCAGAAGAAAGAAAAAGATTAACATCATCGTATTAATTTTGGTCTGAGTCGTAAAAAATCTCAGACAATAATAATTGATTAGACATATGTATTACAATACACTTATAGAGAACTGAAGAAAAAGGAATAGAAACAAATTTTGTATCAAAAAGATTACATTTTGTATAGTATTTGTCAAGAAATCTAGTAACAATTGGAGAAAACAACCAATGGTTTACATAACTGTTTGAAGAAAGATATTTAACAGCAGTATCGTACATATTTACAAACGCATAAGAAACATCAAATAATTTATAAAAAAATATTACTTGTCCGAAACATTTGTTTTTTTGGTCATCATAAAATGATACTACGAAACTTTGCGTGTAACCACGTCTTCGATATGATAGAGAATGAAATTCAGAAATTCCTCTAGATGCACGACAAAAAAAAGACAGATGAGGATTGTCTATTGAATCAATAACATGTTTAACTGTATCAAGAAATTGTGATTGATATTTTGAAATATATTGTCTGTCTAGATAAACATCACGTATTAATTTCTCATCAGCAAAAATATTATTGATCGATAAGGTTTCGTTTTTTGTTGTGCAACGGGATTCATCGAATGAACGACAAATCTGATGAGCAATCAACCGATCACCAGATCGCAAAGAGCGAACAAAACGAAAAAAACTTTCATTACCGAAACAATTATGAAAGCATAGTGCACCATTACTAGAGACTTTTTCCACTAAGTGTAAATGCGCGTGTGTTGAATATAAATAAAACGTCGGACCATAAATAGATTGCGCATGTTCATAATAGGGTGTGGGTGTGTGTGTGGGTGTGGGTGTAGTTATTCATCTCACCCACACCCACACCCGCACCCACACCCACACCCACACCCACACCCACACCCACACCCACACCCACACCCACACCCACACCGCCCAGTCGTTCCCGTAAACAGTATAAAATCATGTTCATTTTTTGAACTTTTGTATACTTTCTATTATGTTGAAGCGTTTTATTTCATAAATAGAAATCGTACATAGAGATCATCATGAACCAACTCTATCTATAGTATATGTGCAAAGGAAGAAAACACACAAAGGCAATCATTAGATGCGGCAAATTATAATCAAAAATTCATTTGACAAACTAGTTATCTAATACAAGTAAATACTTCCTCGCAACAGAAGAGCTAGGCTCTTTTATTATGCCCAAACATACAAACTCTCCAGAAGTGGATCTTCTATGATGTGGGTGTGGGTGTAGGTATGGATGTGAGTAGGGTGGGTGTGAGTATGAATAAAATACCCACACTGACAATCACATCCACACCCTCCTGGATTTGGACGATATTGGAAAGGTGTAGTAAAGTCTGGCGAAATCCAGAGGATCCGTTTGGTACTTTTTATTTTCAGTGCAGTTCAGGCGGCTTGCGCTAGAACCATCTTTGTAAAAGAAGTTGAGCATAAAAATAATGGCACAAGATAAAATTCTTCTAAACCTCTGGAGCCATTTTTATCTGTCATGGTTCCTTTATTAAAAAACTGGTGCAAGATAGAGCTCTTCTAAATCTTTGGAACCATTTCTTATTTGTCATGGTTCTTTATAAAAAAAATGGTGCAAGATAGAACTCTTCTAAACCTCTGGAACCATTTTTATTTAGCATGGTTCTTTGAATTATCTAGAACCATTTGATGGTTTAGTACTAAACGAATGAAAACTTAAAAGGTTCAGAATCTTCGCTAAAACTCTTAATGGTTCCCTATGACACTTTTTTTTTAAAGAGTACCCACATTCCTGAATGGTCAGAAAGCTATGGAACTGAAGAATTTCAAGCATTCCAAAAATTCCCTAGCACTTAGAGTAGCGAAGGATAGCTGGAAAGCTATGGAACCCAAAGAATTTAAGGATTCCGTAGTACTCGAAACGATTTAGAATGGTTGGAAACCTAAGAAGTCCAAAGATTCCATACTAGATGGAGCCGAAAGAGTGGTTGAAAAGTTAAGAAGTCCAAGGATTCCTAGCATTTTTTAACATTCAAGACGGGTGGAAAACCTAAAAATACAAGGATTCCAAGGATTTCCAGAGGACCTGTGGTTTTTCAGTCATTAAACAGTGTCTGGCAATTTCAGAAACATCTAAATACGAAGTTTCTTAATGACTTTGATTGATTTTTAATGAATTGGAAATTTCAAATTTTTCAAGACTTTCAAGGTTTTGGAATCCTTGCATGCAAAGGACGTGGGATGTTACTGGGTTGGGCGAGATATTTTGTTTATTACTAGAGTAGATTTTATTATAATTTTTTGAAAAAGTCCAAGAATTCTGGTGGTATTTCTGTCTGCACGATAATTGAGACAGTTACAGTATAACAGGTTTTTTGGTTTACTAGTCCTTCACTTGTTGGATTCGATGTTGAATTTTTGTACTTGACGGTTTCCATAATCGACGATATAGAGATTGCCATGTCCATCGAATGATAAGCCGGCGGACCCATTGAGTTGGTTCGATTGTGGGTGTGGGTGTGGACGTGGGAAAGGGACATTTCGCACCACCTTTTCATTACGATCTCTTGTAGCAGATGTTCGTTACGATTTCCAGATATAAGAAAAAAGACAGAGTGTTCGGAACTAAGTGTACGGAAGTTCGAAATGACAAAAATCAATAAAAAACTGAAAAATCAGGGTGTTCATAATGAAATTTGTCCAGAAGATCGTAACGAACATCGACAGTCGCTTTTTAGAGATAAAATCATGAAATTTGACTGGAGTTTGGAATGAAAATTACCGGGAGATCGTAATGAAACTTAAGGCAAATAAGTGTAGCGAATGTGTGGTGATCGTAATGAAAAAGAGAGAGTGTTTGAAACTGTACGTTCATATTTGCTTTTCTTTAAGAAATGTTAAGTGACTTACCAGTTTTTCATATATTCTTCATTATAAAAAAAGAAAGAAGAGACTTTATCACCTTTACGAACGTCAGAACAAATCTATTACGATCTCCTGGTAAATTGGTTACGAACACCCGATCAGTTTCATTACGATCTTCCGGTCTTTTTCAATGAAAAAAATACCCTTCGCGTTACATTCCGAACACCCGATCTTTTTCATTCCGATCTCCGGACATTACATCACACATACTGGTGAGCATTCCGTTCCGAATTCCCGGTGACACCTTTCCGATCTCCCTGCTTTTTCATTACGATTTCCTGTCCAAAATTGATTACGGACTCTCGTCAAAAATTTTTTGAGACAAAACTCATTTCCGAATACCTGGACACATGTCGGGGGTTCGGAATGACGTGGTGCGAAATGTCAGTCGCCCGTGGGCGTTAGTCTTCTCTTCTACGACATCCACATCCACACTCACATCCTCAAAATCACAACTTGATCAATTTTGCAAAAAAAATCTATAGAAAGTCTGACGCCCGTTATTCTCGATTGTTAAGGTCTGTAATGGAGAGATGTCTGTAATGGGGACTTCCATTGATAAGTGTCTGTAAAGGGAAGAGGAGCCGCGAAAACTTGACCTTACAACTTACACTCACTATTTTCTTCGAAAATATATGTGACTTTCACAAAATCTCTGCTTTGCAGTTTTTAAACTAAATGTGGAAAGAGTTTCTCTTTTCAATTTAATCTATAGAATTATGTAGTGTTCAAACTATCTGAGGATTAACCCTTGAGAAATGTCGAAACTATGGTCGTAGTATCTCTTAAACATAATACACACTCACACACGTACGCTCTCACTATTCTATACACATACATGTATGTATTTGTATACAAAGTCTTTGATAAAATATATGTTGAATCATTCACAAATAGATATGGACATACATATATAATTCTTTCCTTTTTATTGGAATTCATGATGATTATATATTGTTAATTCTATTAGTGGTTTAATGTACAAAAGTAAATAAAGTTTATTTTATCAGATTAGTTTCCATGTTATATTCATCTTCTCTAATTAATTGAAACTACTCGAAAAATCATATAATACCAAAATATTAGAGATGATCTACCTAATGATGTTTCCGAGCAAAACAGCAACAAATCCCGTCTGTCGTGGGACGATCACTATTCTATATACACCCACACCTCACAATCACACCCACACACAATAATCCAGCGTCCGCTTCATGGATACGAAATCAAAAACTTCATCAAATGCTTCTTTCTTGGTTAGAGAATTCAAACAATAAAAAGCACTAAAAGCGAGAGCAACCACATGAAACTACAATAATTCGTGATCGGCAATACCATGCAGTAATTATTTAGTCTAAGTAACTGGAATTCAATATCACAAAACCGCATCGACTGAAATTCACTCTATCACCTTGTTATCAGCTTCAAACAACGCCATAGACACGTCTTCTAGTTCTCTCTTCTGACGCGTAAAAGCTTTTACCACATTATCCATCAATTGAGAGTGTGATATGTCTAACTCCAATAACCCGTTAAAATTGTAAATCCTGATTTTATTAGGAATAGCGGTGACAGCTACACATTGTATCAGTGCCGCATACGTAACCAAAACTAGCCAAGCATCATTTCCTGAATCCATATAGATATTAATCAAATGCTCCGAAGCCATCCTTTCCAAACTGATATCCTCAAACTGTCGGAAAAGGGCGTACAATTTCGAAATTATCTTCGAGGCCAAATGTTTTATTCCTTCATTAGAACAAATGGCCTGTACAAGAGCCAGAGCAATTAAGTTATTGCTAACATTTGTCGTATCAGAAGATGCATCCAGCAGAGCATTGATCACCTCATTCGTCACTGCTTTTTCACCCATTGTTCCGAGTGCTATACACGCCTCCTCTCGGACAGCGAAATCTTCATCATGCATTGCATTGAGCAGAGCATTGATCACCTCATT